TTCAGATATTTTCACTGTAGGGGTGTGCCAACAAATTACCAAACAAAATACAAACACTAAATATCCAATTTTGGTATCGACATAAATAATAAATGTTGGTAGCGTACATGGTGCAATAATTTCTAATTTTAATACAGTGCTTGTATTATTATTTTAACTTAAGGGAGGAAGGGAGAAAACTTATTTGCTGAAGGGCTTTATATCAGTCAATGGGATTTCAATAGACTCTTCATGTTTTGGATATATTTCAGAATACTCTATTTTCGCTTTGAATTAATTTTCGCTGAAGGTATGATTCATTGAAAATAAAATCTAGCGAATATACCTTTTTGCCTGTATTTTACATTCAACTTGTCAAAAATCAGTGAAAAAATAAATTCCATACAAAACAATCGAAAACACAGCGAAAATTAATTCCAGCTAAAATAAAGTATTTTATAGTAGATAAAAAAAATATTGCTTTACAGGGATTAGAACTAACAATATTGGGTGAAAGCACAAGGTGGATGGGGATAATGTTGTAGAAAAGTTCAAAATCCCAAACAATGTATTTATAGTATTTGCCTAGTAGTAGCACATATAAATCAAAAATTGCATTTACTACATGCTGTATCATTGAGATATGACTTATTTAGGCTACATATGCACCTCTATTGCTTGAAAGCACATGCTCTACTGATAGAGCAAATTTGAATTCTGGGTAATAGCCAAACAGGAGGATTTATATCCTTACTAATAAAATTTTGATTTCTGAAACAGAAAGAAAAATGTGTACAGGCCTACTTGCAGGTTTTAGTTAATCATGATGGAGACCATACACAACCAAGTCATGCTAAGTACACTTATCAATATTTTCTACATTGAAATTCACCACAAAATATATGACAGTAGTAAAATGCAATCGTATCTCAGCAGTTACTGAAAATGACCTATTACAATGGAACTAAAACATTTCTAAATTTTTTTTTAGCTAGAAGGCGCTGCAAAATTACATTAGAGATTGAGGCTCTTTGGAATTTTAATGGTGTCAAAATGGATAGTACTGTAGACAATCAGGGTGACGGAATTTCTAAATGATTATATGAAAGTAATTGAGAATAATATTTTGATTGTTTTTTTTACAAGAAAGATGCAATTTTTTTTATATTTTTTCACCTCTTGGCAATATATATTAGCAAGTATCAGTGTAGTATTAAAATGGGTGTGTATTGGGTAATTTTTGAATGTGTGCGTAGGGTGGGTGTGGTGCAAAGTGGGTGTGGGTGTGGTGCCAAGTGGGTGTGGTGCTATGTGGGTGTAAAATACAAATTACAATGAATGAGTAAATTTGAATTAATATCTCAATTTAAAACTCTGTCTCCCATGATGCTTGATATAACTGTATTATTTTGTTAAGTAGTTCATTAGAAAGCAGAATACAACAAAATCAATATGGTCAAATTAAAATCGCTATTTGTTTAACGTTCCATAGAAGTTTGTTGTTTCACCACATTTATGTACAAGGTAGTGAATTAAATGTACAGTGTATGTCAGAACACCGTGGCATGAGAGTTAAATTTGTAAACTGATCTACTAGTTACACAAGCAGGCTCTCGGCTGAGATAGCACCGCTGTTAGCAATGCATATTTCAATTAAAGAACAGAAGATATCATTAGAAAATGAACAATATGTATAGTATCAAAACAATCAGACTTGCGGTTTTCAACAAGAAGTGGAAAATATCACTTTTTACCAAAAATTACAAAAATATTCATCAAAATTAAAGAATTGAAGATATCATCATGAAATGAACAAATCTGAGTTATAACCACACGTAGTACCTATATATGTAATATCAAAGCAATTGGACTTGCGGTTTTCAACAAGAAGTTGAAAATATCACTTTTTACCCAAATTGACATAATATTCACCAAAACTAGAGAATTAAAGATATCATTACAAAATGAACAAATCTGAGAGAAGTCCACATGTAGTACCTATATGTATATATGTAATATCAAAGCAATT